TTACTATTCAACCATTAAAATTAATAATTAAAAATTTTTTATTTTAAACTAAAATTTAAAAATAATATTTTTTAATAATTATACAATAAAATATAGTGTGAATGTCCTAAATATATGATAAAAAAATTAATACACACATTAACACTTACTATTCAACCATTAAAATTAATAGTTAAAAATTTTTTATTTTAATAATTAAACTATAAAATATATTAAATCAAATAATACACTAATTATTACGTTAAAAAAGATATGAGCCGATCAACCCTCGTTGGTTGTAACTAATCGCCGTAGAAAGGTCTTGTTCATAAAGTAAAAAACGAGAGTGGTTGGTGCCAAACATTTGTGGCGGAGGCGGAGGCAGGGCGGCACCCTTGGCGACAGTCCCCTACCAGCGTGAAAGGCAATCTTTCATCGCAACCGTGCTCTGTGGAGTACTGGAAATAATCGATGAGTTTGATTTAGAGGATGCCGTGACACAGATGCTGTAGCTTGGTTTGCTACCTTTTTTTCGATATTTTCCGAATGTCATGTCTTGAAAAGATATACCAGCTACCTGTATGTCCGAACGAAAGAAGTTTGATTTTTTTTAAAAAAAATTTTAAATTTAGGTATTATGAAATTTTTTGAAAGGATATTTATTGATTTTTTTATTAATAAACAATTGTGCTCATAATATAAATTCAAAAAACAACTCAGATAAAAAAAAATTTAGTAAGGAAAAACGAATCACATATAAGTATGATAATAAGTGTTTGTATTTAATTTTATTTAAACTTTTATAAAATTTTTATATAATATAAAAATAATAAAAACATAATAACATCAATTTTTGTGTAATTTCTTAAAATATAAATTTTGGTAATTAATTAAGAGGACCATTTAAAAAGATTAATTTTTTATTGAGTAATATTTTTTAAATTTATTAAAAAAATATCTTTAAATTTAATATCACAAAAAACTAATAATACTACACCTCATATAAATTAATTGGCTAAAGTAAAACTTCTGTAAAGATTTTAGGAGGATAAAAATCATTATTAAAAAAAAAAGAAGAAGAAAACTTAAAAAGGAGAATAGCTACACAAATCTCAGGTAGGCTAGAATCTTTTTCTCCAAAAACAAATTTTTTGTACATTAAAAAAATCACATTGACCATTATTCAAATTATTGAACGTTTATTTCATGTATCTGTTACATAAATAAAGTTAAATACTAAATAAGTTATATACATAGAGAATAAAAAATTAACACATTCTAACATTAAAATGTAAGTAAATGAAGCAAGGTACTACATATGATTCCTACATTAGCAAACAAATTCCAAAAAAATCTAAAATTCATAACCCTCCTCTCTTCTAATGCCATTGAGTCGACCTCTTCCTCATAGCTAATTATAATTTTGAGAAACATGCTTTTAAGCACTCCCGAGGATGATAATCACTTCAAACAAAACATGGCCGCGCTTTTCATCCGTCTAAAACCTTGATTAATTCCTCAGACAAAACACCCAGATGCTCCAATGAAAATATGGGTTCCCTGGATCTCTTATATCATCACAACTTTGTTAAGAGAGGAGAAATAAGGATCGTCCTTGTAATTTATAAGTTGTAAAATTAGAAATTTGTATATTATTATATGAAAAAAAAGTATTTTGTAAGTCATATACATATTAAAAATGTAATTTAACTTATAAATTTACTAAAATATTTTTTATAAAATTATTTCTTATAGTACTTTATTAATGATAATTTAATAATTTTATTATCTAAACTAATGATTTATTAGTTCAAGTAAAAAAAATTTGATTCCATCAAATAAAGTTTTAAATTTGAGTCTTACAAATGAAAAAATAAATATTGAGAGAACTTATTTCTTATAGGGTTTGACGAACTTCGATTTTAGACTAATTAGAGTTTAATATAATTTTTAAATACTGAAAAATTAGTATTAAAAAAAATTATTATCCAAATTATAATTTTGATGTATAATCTGTTATATAAAACATGAATCTCTTATCATATTATATATAAGTATGCATAAAAACTAAAAAGGTCAAACGAACAATTTATTAGAAAGAGTGGGTACATGCATAGTATCAACAAGATACACACTGTATAAACAAGAAAGTAAGTGTAACCAATTAACTGAATTAGGGACTTAAACTTCTGTTATTCTTGAATAAGTACATGATCTTGTCATTTTTC